AGGACCAGGTGCTTTCAGAACCAGAGACCAAGGTAAGAGTACAGATGATGGGGGCTGGGAAGGTGGCTCAGTGGTGGAGTGTTGCCTTGCATGCACGAGGCCCTAGATTCGATTCCTCAGCACCACATAAGTAGAAAAAGCCAGAAGTGGCACCACGGCTCAAGTGGTAGAGCACTAGCCTTGAGCTGAAGAGCTGAAGGACAGAGCCCACGCCCAGAATTCAGGCCCCATGACCGACAAAAATAAATAAATAAATAAATACAGATGATGGGCAGGAGACAAGTGAGGGGCTGAGCCTCTGCTTCTTTTTCACCCCCTTCTTATCTTTACAGGCTATGGGAAAGGTTTCTCGATTCAGAATACGCCGGACACCAGTCCGTCCTCAGCTAAAGCTCACGCCAATGGGGCTCCCTCGACCAATCAGGTGAGTGGGTCACCAGGCAGAGAGTTGGTTTAGCCAAGCAAGCAGAAGCTTATACTCCCCTGAAGTATGGCTATATCTCCTATCAGGACCAAGGTCCAGGCTGGGGAATTCAATTTGGTATGGACAAGGTTTGTGCTTAGAACTTCCTGTCTGCCTCAGATAGCACTCACTAATCCTGGCAAGTCCCAGAAACTCAACTACAAATCAGCCCTAATGGAGTCCTTTAAACTCTGCTGGCCTGTGGTTTCTTAGTGGCCTCTGCACTTTGCTCTCAGGTTGAACAAGAAGGAATTTAGTTTGGAAGAAATTTATACCAACAAGAATTATCAATCGCCAACAACCAGGAGGTGAGATTCTTGGAAGGTTTTGAAGGTGATACAGGGAAACTAGAACCAAGAGCCATGTTAGTAAACAGCTGCTCTCTCCCTGCTTGATCCAGGACCTTTGAGACCATCTTTGAGGAGCCTCGGGAGCGCAATGGGACTCTGATTCTTACCAGTTCAAAGAAGCTCCGGCGGGCTGTAGAATTTCGGGACAGCAGCCTTCCTCGATCCCGCCGGCCATCTCGTGGCATCCGAGCTGCACCTAGCAGGACCCTTACTCCCAAGGTGTCACCCAGCAAAGATGTGGGAGCCCTGCTACAGCAGCGTCTGGAGGAGCTTGATGCCTTGCTTCTGGAGGAAGAGTTGGATGGGAAGCAGCCCCATCAACCCTAGGAGCTCCAGCTGTTTTGTCCTGCCATCCATCCTGGAGGGGAAAACCTCTGAAGCAATTATATTTTTTTCCTCTATATTTCTAAGTAAAGTTTTCAATATGTTTGATTCTTTTGTGTCTCTAGCTAAGTTGGAAATTGACCATACTGATAATTTTCTATGTTGTCTGGAAAAGTGGGGGTGGAGGAGGGAGTAGGAAAAGATGAGGGACAGAGAAGAAACAATTGGTCATTGAAGATCTACTCTTCTCCAAAGCACAGGGCTGGGTTTGGAACTCAGTATCTGTGTTTGCTTGACTTGTACCCTATCAATTGAGCCATGCTTCCAGTACCACTTTTTAATGTTTTGTATGTTCTGGGGCTTGAATTAGGCCTGGGTGCTGTCCCCAAGCTTTTCTGCTCAAGGCTGTATCTCCACCACGTTGAGCCACAGCTCTACTTCCTTTACTAGTTTTTTTTTTGGTTTGTTTTTTTTGTTTTTTGCCGGTCATGGGGCCTGAACTCTGGGTCTGGGTGCTGTCCCTCAGCTCTTCCACTCAAGGCTAGTGCTCTATCACTGGAGCCACAGCGCCACTTCCGGCTTTTTCTGTTTAAGTGGTGCTGAGGAATCGAACCCAGGGCCTCATGCTTGCAAGGCATGCACTCTACCGCTGAGCTACCTTCCCAGCTCCCCTTTACTAATTATTTTGGAGACAGACTTTTATGCCACCTCTGGATATCAGCTTCCTGAATAGCTTGGATTATAGGCATGAACTACCAGCACCAGGCCCCAAAATAACTTTTTATTTGTAAATTCTGAGGAGGATACTTCTGAATGAGACCTGGGATCCTTGTCAGAATTTTCCCATGCCATTTACCTCAAAGAGGCTTAAAGATACAGAGTAAGCTAAAGCCTTGAGCAAGATAGTCCTGAATCCCTTCCAACTTGCAGACTTGGGATGCCAGAGCAAAAGCTAAAATCAAAGTCCTAGTGCCAATGGCTCACTGTAATCCTAGCTACTCCCGAGGCTGAGATCTGAGGATGGAAATTTGGAGCCCGCCCAGGCAGTCAAGTTAGCACCAATTAACCACCAAAAAGGCCTGGAGTGAAACGGTGGCTCAAGTGGCAAAGTGCTAGCCTTGAGCGAAAAAGCTAAGGGTCAGCCCAGGCCCCCAGTTCTGGCCCCAGTACTGGCACACACACACACACACACAATAATAGCCTGTCACCGGTAACATAACGTAGCCCTATGAAAGAATTAGGGTTAGGGTGAGCATGACACATTAAAACGGGTCAGTCAGTGGCACTCGCCATCTTTCACGTGGAGTCGGTGGAATGCTGGCCAGAGATGGCTGGAACCAGGATCCTAGCTGCTTTACCCGTCCTCGGTAAAACGTGCAGATAGCAGCGTGTGAAGAGAATTGCTACTACCAAATGAGTTAAAAGGAGCTCGGGGAGCTCCGTCCAGCACTCTAACCCGGCTGTAACCCAACGCGGTCTTCCCACAGGCACTAGAAAATAACGCGAGGCCTTGAAGCCATCTGACACCGCGGAGCGATCTACCAAGGAAGCCCTAGGGGTGGTGCGGTCACTAGGCGCATGCGCAAAACGCCAAGCGACGAAAATCGGGAAACGCCAAGCGACGAAAATCGGAGCAACTGCACGTAGAACCGCACCTTCCGCAGCCGCGCGCCGCCAAGCGGCCAACTGCCCCCTACGACGAACTCCTCGCCCAACTCCTCGCCTGAACGCCGTCAGAAAGAAGCCAATAAACGAAGAGTAGGAAGAGGCGGGGCTACCGGGGGAACCACCCCAAACACCTACTTCTAACCAGTCGAGTCACAAGACTTGGGAGAGGGCGGAGCTAACCTGATGTAACCCAATCCAAGATTTGAGGGCGGTTACATATTACCCACTCCCCAGAGCTTGACTCCGCCCTTCGCCTTGACGCACATTTGCCCACCTATCAATGACTAGGCCTGTGCGGGGGGAGGGGAAGGGGGCGGAGAGTGGGAGGAGGCAGAGAGAGGAAGGAGGCGTAGGCTGAGGAGGAAGAGGGAGGAGGGGCAGGGGAGTCCTGGCGGAGAAGAGGCCTGGGACTCCAAAGGAGACAACAGGAAGATGCGCTGGAGTTTTTTCGCGGCCCAACGGTCGTTCCGCATCCCCTAAAGCACAAGTTAGGCAAAGACGGAAGAAAAGAGGAAGAGACTTTTATGTCGGCGTACAGAGGAGCTACACCCGTCACCGTTGCCTCACATCCGGGGCTTTGGAGGGCTGGCCCCGGGGCCCCGCCCCCCCTCGCGCCTTTCATGGCGAACGGAGGCGGAGGATGGAAAAGCTGGGTCCGGAGAAGGCCCCTTTAAATCTTAAAGGGGTGGCCACCGATCTCTGCCGACTTGAACGCTAGCCTTAAAGGAGAAGCTGTCGAACCGAAGGTTGACAAATCGTGAACTCTGCTGTTGGGAGAACCGGGACGATTGGTTTTTCTCTTCTCTGCTCCCGCCCCACGGAAGAAGTCCTTTAAACTCTGCTTAAAGGGGAAGTGGTTGCTTGTGGAGGAGTAGAAACCAGCTCTCGAGCTCTTAAAGGATCGGCCTGCTGTTAGAAGGACCCTGGACTCCTTAAAGGGGTGGCCTCTTTTAGCCGGAGGACTTGAGACACTTTTAAAGGGAAGGTCTGCGTTTCGGGTCGAGCTTTCGGCCCCTTTTAAAGGGGTGGTCCTTCCTCTTCCTCGGGGAGACTTGCCTCGACCCCTGGCAGGGGGCGGCCACCGCACTAGGCCGGCCGGACACCGGCGGGTCGTCTTAAAGGGGCCGGGGGCTGGACAGCTTGAGGACTCGCCTTAAAGGGACGGCCGCCCCGTTTTCGCCGTCGCGGCCCCGCCGGCCCCACAGGGGGGGCCCTCGGGCTTGTCGCCCCGGGGGCGGCGCCGGCTCTCCGGGCCTTGGCCTTGGGGCGAGTTCGGGGCCAGCAGATCCTGCTTTAGAGGGGAAGCCGGGGCCTTCTCTTCCCTGAGCCGCCGTCAGCACCGCGCCTGCGACCCCCGGCCTGCGGACAGGCCACTCCGGGCCCCGTCGCCTCCGGATGCGGCGCTGAGGGCCGTCGCCATGGAGACAGCAGCGGCCGCAGCCCCAGGCCCGGGCTGGGTGGCCGAGGGGGAGCGTCGGCGGCGGCGCTGCTCGCGCCGGGACCGAGACCGGGAACAGCGGCGCCGCCGCGGGCCGGGCGGCGACGCGCCCCGGGCCTTGCTGGCCGCCCCGCGCGGCTCTTCGTCGTCGTCGTCGCCGCCGCCGCCCGCCAGGCCCTGGTCCTCCGCCTCGTCGGGTGAGCGGCCCGGGGGCCCGAGGCGGCGGCGACCTCGTCCCAGACCGCGGCCCCCGCGGCCCCGAGCTCGGAAGCGGCCCGCCGGCTCGGGCAGCCGTGGGGAAGAGGAGGAGGAGGAGGAAGAGGGGGGCCCCGACGACGGAGAGGCCGAGGAGGAGCCGGAGGAAGAAGAGGAGGAGGAGGAGGACTTGATCGATGGCTTTGCCATCGCCAGCTTCGCCAGCCTCGAGGCCTTGCAGGTAAGGCCTGGCGGGACGGGGCCTGGGGGTCCGAGGGGCAGAGCAGGCACCGTGCCTTGGGTGGGGGAGTGCGGGGTGGGGGGGGGTTGCTGCCACCCAAACCAGAGCGACCGGCTCCTCTGGCCGGCCTCGCCCCACCCTAGGGTAGGAGGAGGTAGAGCAGTTAGTCTCCAGGGACCAGCTGGGTCACCAGCCAGAGGCGCTTTGGAAGCCTGATCACCCCTAAAAGAGGTGGGAAGCTTTCATTTTCCATCCACGTCAGTCCCACCTCCTCCTCCACAGAAGGATGCATCTCTTCAGCCCCCAGAGCGACTGGAACATCGGCTGAAGCATTCTGGGAAACGGAAGAGGGGGGGCTCCAGTGGGGCCACTGGGGAGCCAGGGGACAGCTCTGATCGAGAGCCTGGCCGGCCCCCTGGGGATCGAGCCCGCAAATGGCCCAATAAGCGGAGAAGGAAAGAGGTGAGCTCTTCCCAGATACACATCCTCTAAAACTGACAGGCATAGTGTCTTGACTTATGTCCAATCAGCAGTACCACTGCCCACTCTAAACAGTGATCCCAGTCTTTAATGCAGAAAAGAATGCCAAACCAGCCAGAGTGCCCCCCCCCCTTTCAGGCCTGACAAAGAATTATGTACAGTCAGATTCACCTGCTTGTGGTTGGTATTATGTCTACTTCAAACATGCTAGTAATTCAAGACACATCTAAAGGACTTGGTTGAATGATAAATGAGTTAAATGTGGTCCCTTTCCTTCCCTGGAGGTGGTGGCAGTGGACAAGTAAACATTTGGGCCACGATTTGGGAGGCTACATAAGGTGGGGATTGGGGAGCAGTGCTGCAGAAACCAACATGAGGAAGCCACTCATTCGGCCTGGGGGATGGGCGAGGGTTGTGGTTAGGGAAAGCCCCCTATGATGTCTTAGGCCCCGAAGTACAGTCAGAAGTTTGCTAAGAGGAGAAATGGAGAAAAGCTGTTTTGAGCAAAGGCACATAGATGTGAGAACCTGTTGTACTTAAAGAGTCTGGCAAGCACATTGGGAATGAGAGAAGCTAGAAAAGCATGGGGGACCTTGAATACTGAACTGGGAGTTGAAATTTTGTTGAATTGCCTGGATATCTAGTCATCCTGCCTTACCTCTGGACTCTGGTCTTTCTCAGGCCTTCTCTCGCCATTCTCTGGAAGCTGGATACATAGTAAGTGCTGTCTCCCTAAATTGGCCTCTCCTCACCCCTTGTATCCCACTTTTCTTTCCTTTCCTGACACCTCTTTTTTTTTCCCTCTTCCCAGTGTGATGCGGAAAGTGATCTGGATGAGAGGGTGAGTGGGGCTGGAACTTGTTGGGTGGGCAGTGTCACGGCCTATCAAATAGACTATAATTTAAAGACCTTCTGAATGCAGCAAAAGCCTCCTTTTGAGTGGGCAGCATGAATTAGGTTGAGCCAGGAAGACTAGCTGCAAGTCTTGGTATGGCATCTTTTCTAAAGAGCCATCACCATTTCTTCATGGTAATCCATAATGGTTCTTCCTAGCCATTAGTCCGCTTATACTATAAGGCTTTTTGA